CCCCCGCCCCATCAGAAAACGCTTTCTCACAGTGTGATCTGTTTTGGTCTCTCTTGGCATCACAGAGTCATTTCATTAGGAGTGGGCAGTGAGGATTGCTAGAATAACTGGTAAGAAAGGCTTAGTGGGGGGTGATCCCCACCAAGGGCCCCTGCCCCTCTAGGCTCTGCTTCTTACTAGATGATTGCCCTGGGCAAGTCACTCTGCCTCTCCACGCCTCAATGTCTGTACCCAGGAGAACAGATGTCCCCTTCCTTGGGAAACTCTTTCCTAACCGCACCGCTGCCCTGCCCCATGCCAAGCTGAGCTGAGAGCCACAGCTAAAGGTCAGCCCAGCTCCCTGTACTTCAGGCGGGGCGTTGAGCACATCCCACTCTTAGAACTAGTTTATCACCTCTCTTCACCAGGAGGGGCTCTGGGAGGGCCAAGACAGCTGTCCTGCTCATGGCTGTCTCCCCAGTACCAATACCTGGCATGGATAGAGTAGGTGGAAGAGAATACTAGGGGTCAGACTTGGGTTCAAACCCCAGCCCTGGTGTGTCTAAGCTGTGTGACCCGGGAAAAAGGCCTTCGCCTGTGCCTCTGTGTGTTAAGTGGGGGCAGCAGTAGAACCCAACCCTGTCTAGCTCCAGGAGGCTGCAGTGGGCTAATGTGTAGGAAGTGCTTAGCAATAGTACCTGAAACTTAATAGGCCTTAAGAAATGTTAGCAGACTAACTCACACAGACACTTCACAGTTCCTTCCCAAGGCTTTTCACACTAGCCATCCCCCTCCCACCCAGCCTTCCACTGCACACTGAGAGCCCCCAGAGAGTGCTTTTGGAGCACAGCGGGGTGGATGCCCTAGCTCCCGCCCCCTTGCCCTGCTTTGGAGGAAGCCAGGGAAGCTGGGTCTGTGCTGGGCATCCTGCCATTGTGGATTCAGAACAAAGCTGCTGCCTTGTCTTAGCCCCAGCTGCCAGGAGGCCCCTCCCGGCCTCCCCAGGGGGCCCTTGGATTGTCATTCCAGGGGGCCAGTGCAAACAAGGACTCTTCTCGCTCTCTGCTCTGCTCCAGAATTAGCTCTGGGATGCCAGAAACTCCACCATCTCACTGCTCCTGCTCAGTTGCCAATACGTCCTGGAAATAACACAAAATGTGATGGAGAGCCATGAGAGGTTTTGAGCAGGCAAGAGCCATGATGTTCAATAAGCATTTCCTGATAATGGCCCTTTGGTACAGTCTGGATCCTATGTGGAGGGGAAATTGACAGGAGGTAGAAAGACCAGGGAAGAGGTATTGTAGTGGTTCAGAGGACAATGGGAACAGTGTTTTGGGCACAGCACAGAGTACCATAAATTGTATAGGTTTGGGGTAACAAATTATCTCTAGACATTATGGCTTAAAGCAGCACATATGAATTATTTCACAGTTTCTGTGCATCAGGTATTTGGGAGTGGCTTAGTGGAATAATTCTGGATATCGGCCAGGGCTGTGGTCATATGCAAGTTTGGCTGGGGCTGGAGGGTCCACTTCCAAGATGGGTCATTCACATGGCTGCAGGAGGCCTCAGTTCCTTGCCACATGGGCCTCTCCACAAGGCATCTTGAGTGTCCTCATGACATGGTAGTTGGTTTCCATCAGAGTGAGTGATAAAGAGAGCAAAAAGCCACAATGGCCTTCTTGACTCAATCTCAAAAGTCACACTCATTTCTCTAATATCTTCATTTATTATTTAATTCTAATACTGTTATTTCTCTGCTAGCTTAGGTCAACTCCATTCAGTATGGGCCCTCCCACCTTGACTACCATTAGGGCATGAATGCCAAGAGTAGAGGATCTTTGAGGTCATCTCAGGCTGGCTACCACATTAGTGAATGTTGGCTGAGTGAGTGATTGAGGAGGACACAGCTTGGGGCCATGGGGAATTAGTCTGGGAGCCTCCTGCTCCAGGTGGATCTTGTCAACCATATCTCCGCATCCTCCCTGATAAAATACTATATGATCCTGCCCACCATGGTCACTTGGCAAATGTTTGCTCAATGAGGGCTGGAGGCTGCTTTCTCTGCTCCCCACTTGCAGACTCCTTGGTCTATTTGAAGCCCTGGATGCTCTGATATCTCCAAGTCCCCTCCCTCTGATTTCTTCCAGTTATATGAGGCCAGATCTGCTCCCGGTGCCTGATGGAACCTTCCAGTATCTAGACCTCCTACTGCCTGCTCCTGACAGCCACAACCCTCATGTGACCCTCCTTCCTTCTCTAAGCACTGCCAAGCATCCCAACTGGGTAGATTCTGGCCCAGCAGCACCTGCTGCCTGGACTAGGCCATTTCTCTTTGTACATAAACTTTCTTTGGTGGAAGAACACTTGTCCCTGCATACTATGCTGAAGTCGGATAGCAAATGAAAGCTGAACCTTAGATGAACCAGGAAACCTCTTACCCCTGAGGCATTGCTGCTAAATTTCCCAGGAACCCTGTTTGAAAACCACAGATCTAATTCAGTCCTTGTCAAACATATGAGGAAACTAAAGCCCAAAGAGGAGGAAGAACCAAGATGATTATCTTAGTCTGTTCAGGCTGCTGTAACAAAATTCCACAGGCTCCAAAACTGTAAGAAATAAACAACAGAAATTTCTTACAGTTTTGGAGACTGGAGGTCTGAGACCTGGGTGCCAGCATGGTCGGTGAGGGGCCTCTTCTGGGTCACTTTGTTGTATCCTTACAAGGCAGATGGGGCTAGCTGGCTCTCTAGGGCCTCTTTTATAAGGGCACTAATCTCATTTATGATGGGTACACTCTCATGACCCCAACACCTCCCAAAGACCCTGCCTCCTAATACCATCATCTTGGGCATTAAGCTTTCAACATATGAATTGAGTGGGGGGTGCGGACACAAATATTCAGACCATAGCAAAAATCTTATGCAAAGAATGAACAGCAGGGCTAGGATTTCACCTCCTAAGTTTTTGGATTCTGCCATATCCTGCTCCCCACTGTGCTCTGAGAACAGAGCCAGGGTGTGAAGTTATGGAGGTATGCAGGGTCTGGCTCAGGTTGACAGGGAGTGTCTGTCATAGAAGCTACCAGCCAGGTATCCCCCAGCTCAGTCAACAAAACATTTTTGTCCTCAGGGGGAAAGAATTACAAATGTTTTGTCAAGGGGAAGTCTAAAAAGATTTGTGGCAAGAGGCTGTTACATGTGTTGAGAGCTTTCTGCTTTTGGGTGTCTCTTGGAAACTCTGAGAGGTGGGTAGGATGGTGTATTACTCTGGGTCCTCTGAGAAGCAGACACCAAGGTGGAATGAAAAGTACAAGGGTTTTATGAGGGCAAACGTTTGTGAGAGAAAATGGGAAGGAAGCTGGGGAGGCTGGGAGAGTTGTCAGATCATGATTTAAATCAGACTCTGAGTGGAGGAGAGAAGGGAGCATGGTTGGGGAGAAACGTTCCTGACCATGCTGCAGTCTAAGGAAGGTTCGGCAGGGCCATCAGAGTCCT